ACATGAGGACGAAAATGAATGATAACAAGGAACGCAAGAAGAAAATGTAACCACAGATTTGATGTGAAACATTTCATTGGGGCTTTGGAATCCTTCTGTGATATTCGAAACTTAACTTCTGGAGTGTAAAAAAAATAGGACGTATACAAACTTTTTGGATATACACATATCTTATTTTCCTCATTGTTTAATACATACTCATACATGTTGATGGACATGTGTTAAAATGTACTGTTGGCACGTTAATATAATTTACTGTTGGCACGTTAATATAATTTACTGTTGGCACGTTAATATAATTACTGTTGGCACGTTAATATAATGTACTGTTGGCACGTTAATATAATGTACTCCTGGCACGTTAATATAAGTCCCAGATTTGTAAAATGAGGAAACCCGATTAAAAAATAGTCTGTGAAATCACATGATTTTATGTTTTTATTATTACATTTATAAGATCGTGATATAGATTAGGTTGCAAAGCATGTAAGTTAATGATACATTTGATTTCATCCCATTTAAAAAAAATAAATGTTTTAAACATTGTTTTAATTTTCCGCTTATAATGTGATTCCTCTTTGTTGTGCAATGGCAATATATCCCGTGAAAACAGCTAACCATATTTATACTGCTGACTATAGCAATACGACATGGTGTAGAGGTACTTTCTCAATACACAGTTTCTAAAAGTGTGCATGTGCTTGATATTTAAACAAAAGTAGATAGCCATACACACACATGAGGCGATCCATCGATTTCATGTAGTGTTTAAACATGTCGTATATACCTGCTTTGACATGGTGTAACGTTCTCTTCAAAGGCCAGAGGTTATCTTAATGCAACGCGATGATTCATCAGCAGGTAGCATACAAACAAGTAGGGTCAGACAGGCTATGTAATCTTGTGCATGAAATTTACCACTGAAGTGAACAGCAAAACACTGACATGTTTCACTCTGAATTTCGAATTTTACCAACACCATGTTCATGTGCACATCACAAAAACACCCAAAACAAATAAGAAACAAAAAAGAAAAAGAAACAAATGACCCCACCCCCCAAAAAACAAAAAAACCAACCCAAAACAAAACACACAAAAAACGTTTGTAATTGGCGTGTTTGCACGAACTTGTTAACACGTAGGAATGGAATAATCATTTTCTGAGTAGATAGCCATGCACTCACATGGTACAATATATCGATGCCAGATGTGTAAAACTATGTCTTAGTTCGTGATTGTGTTTGTGACATTGGTTTCACATCACTATTAGCATCTTAGTAGAATCTCTGACATGAGTGAGTGAGTAAGTATGGTTTTAGGTCGTTTTTAAACAAAATTACAGCATTATCACGGTGAGGGACACCGGAAATGGGCTTCACACATTGTACCCATGTGGGGAATCTTTGACAGGAGACACAAAGAATGGGTACTGATTTGTTCCAGTTTTTGGAATCGAGCCCCGAACCCCGAAGGTACCAAAGTACTTCAACAGAAAACGTATCCTTCATTAAACTCGATTACGCGAGTAGTAACTATTTATATGTAACCTGTTAACAATGCCTGTACGTTGTTAATCACTACCTCGGGGGTGTTAGTTTCTGCGACCAAATAATATAGACACATTGAATAGAACTTATTCCGTGACTAAACTCTGTGAGATAGTTGTACGTCTTGCTCACAGTTGGGAGTTCATGTCCGGGTTAGAAATGGTCTTCCGCATCCTTCTTTGTGGTAAGAGGCGACTATCGGGATCGGGTCGTCATCCTCGATGACTTGGCTGACACATGTCATCGTGTCCCAATACAAATGCTTTGGGATTTTCTGACCCAGACCGCCGCCACATTGCTCAGTGCGGCATTATACAAAGAATAAAACAGATCATTTTGATAACAGAAATAATGTGTATCTGTTTATGGTGTAAGGGACGTAACTCGATGGTGTTTAAGGACACTGATATCGTGGTACGTTAACTGCACTTAAAAGAATGAAAAGCTAGAAACACAAGTTTAGCCTGAGTAGAAGTTCTGGTTGAACGGGATATACATCCGCACACCCAAGACCGCCCCACGTACAATCAGGCACGCACGCATGCTCGCACCCACACACACAATCTATATATATATGTTTGTATTCATATATATATATATTTGTATATGTAATAAAAGAAATATATAACAGTTAAGTATTACAAATAAATACAGTCGAAGTAATTTTACGGCTGTTTTTTTAAATGGTTTACACATTAAATTCCTCTAGACAGTGTCTATTTAGCCATAACTCGTTCCTGCAACAGTTTGTGAAAAATAACAGATGGCTGGAACGTTTCGATTAAAGATCAGTTGCTACAACCACATCCCCCGTACCATATCAAAATTTGTAATTTTGTCCCTAAAAAGCAAAAAGTAAACCTTTTGTTTCTGCATTAGATTTTAAAAAGTTTAATACCATGTACAAGTATTCTGTGAGTGCTATCTCCTTCCCGTCTTCTTTCTTCTCCTCCTTGGCAATTGGTTAGGCCACAAGTCGACCTAACACTCACTAAATTTACAAAATCAGAAACTAATGACTTACAATATAAACAAGAATTATCAATTAAAAAAAAGTAAATATAATACATGTACATATAAATCCTTATTTACCGATGGGTCCATGGGTGATAGCGCAGTGGCTTGTGCCATATATATACTACAAACAAAAAGTATGGTAATGGACACTGCAAACGACATGTTGGAACATGCAGTGAAGCAACTGATTCAATATTCGTTGAGTTTGAGTGAAATGAAACATTGTCAAAAACAGCGAAAAACAAGGGTGCTGAAACACACCAACACCATGTTTGATTCAAGCGCCTGAACACAACAGCCTAGTGCGTGTGGAAGACAGACAGACAGAAGCACGCACGCACGCACGCACGCATGTAAGGTATTCCTGGCACTTCAGCTTTTACTATTTCAACACTTGCAACTGAACAGCGATATCCCGGCGCTGTAACTTTAGCTGTGTATTTAAGCTGAATCGAAAGTACAGATTTGTTTCTTGGAACGCAACTTCAAACGACACTACGTTCTTTTCATTGCCACTTACCGTCTCCACAGTTGAAGTGTTGTGGAATACTAATTGACGATATGAGTAGAAAAGAAGAATCGTCAACAAACAGAAACAAGTGACTCAGGCTGATTTGATCAGGAATGTCCAGCATGACCCCTGTAGATATCGAGTAGGAGCCACAAGTGACGTGTTTTCAAGAATGTCTGGTTACAAGAGCGATGGATGCAAAGCCGAGACGGTTTACGTTACTCCGTCCAAAAACCCTGCAATGAAAGAGAATAAACTCCTCAGCAAGCTTCCCGCAGACCATCCACACAACTTTCACAAAGTGAGCAACTACAGCAAGTCTGGTGAGGGTTTTGTGTATGCCATCGATATGAAGGTTAAATAGATGCAGAGATGTGACCTGGAGCTTCTTGTAGTTGTGTGCCATATCTTTGAATCATAGGACCCTTTGTGACATACATGTTCTGGACTCATGTTCTCCATGCCGAAACGGATTAGGAACTGAACCAATGGAGAAGAAGCTGATTTCAACTGATTTCACCTGAATCCACTGCAGATAAGTTTTTTGATGAAAGTAACCTTTTGTTATCATATTTTGGATATGTATGCCATTTATTTATGGCCTCGATAATGGAGACGAGAAGACAAAGAAAAAGGCAAGAAAAAGGACATGAAAACGAAAAAGAACAATAACAAGAAAAGAAAGAAGAAAAGGTAACCACAGATTTGATGTGAAACATTTCATTGGGGCTTTAGAATCCTTCTGTGATATTCGAAACTCTGGAGCTGGGTAAATGTAACTCTTTGGATATACATATATGTTATTTTCCTCATTGTTTAATACATACTTCATACATGTTAATAGGCATGTGTTAAAATGTACTGTTGCCACGTTAATATAATGTACTGTTGGCACGTTAATATGATGTACTGTTGGCACGTTAATATAAGTCCAAGTGTTGTAAGGGGGGTGGGGGTGGTGGTGAGGCATTTTTGGTCTGCCATTTTTTTTAATAACATCACATAGGTGTGACCTAATCGACTGTTGAAACCTTAAGCCCCACCCTCCTTTGGGAGTCCCCTTTCCGGCCCAGGTGTGTGTGACCTTCAGGTTCACCTTAGTGGTGTGTGATTATTATTCAATTATCTTATAAGTTTGCCGACTCAAGTGTTCACGCAGCAAAATCTTTTTTCAAGGTAGAATTAATATCACACTATGCATATGAGGGCGAATTTAGCTGCTATTTATTAGGTCTAAAGTTGTGAAAATATCAGAGCACCTTTTGTTAAATCAAAGGTATCTCTAGCCAGTTTAAAATACGCTGTCATTTGCTACACAAGGAACAACTATGAAGTTCTGAGTATTTATTTTATGTATCTGTGAACAATAAATGATTGTAGCTGTTAGCATATACAATTCATGCGCCATGTGGGCCCCGTATATGACATGCGTGAATGGGGCGCTGTCTATGCACTAACAGCACAATTGCTTGCTCGCTGAGCCGGGCCGTAACTGAAGAGACATGTGACAGCTGTGATTGGATGAAATAGTGTAAGGTGTTATGTTTGTCAAAAGCACCTCCATCCAGTCATTAAAACTGACCACCATTTTAAGTATTTAATGCTGTCATTTGTATCACTTATGCTTATGCGTGTACAGATATGTTCAAGTTGGTGACAGTTTGTGCGGACCTGAGGGGTTGATGTGTTCAGCTTCCTGTGTGTGGCTTCCTGTGCTCGCAAAGCTAGCCGGTTCAAGTTGACCAGAAATTGCTTTATTGTAATTTAAAGGTCAGACTGTAATCATGTGTACATGGAATGGTTGTTGATAATTTTCAGCGTGATGGCGCACAGCCTACAATGAATGTATAGTCACAAGTGGTCAGCTTCCGTTATGTAAGGAGAGAAGTGTCTGACCAGAATTAAAGACAGGAAATAGTAAGCAGTTGAGGACTGATGGTCACTGAATATCTCAAGTATATTCACATCTCTGGGAATACTTTAGTATGACTTTTTGGGGTGGGTGTCATTCATTATTGTTTTAGTGTTTTTTCTCTTTACAATTTTTAGAAATATTATAAAGTCGTTTTTGAGTATCTGCTTTGGGATTTAATGAAGCTGAAATATAGGTTATTTTATTTGCATATTCAACAAAAAAATCGCAATTTGTGATTCTTAAACGGTATTTAGAAATATATATATACATTGAACAGGTGGTAATGATTACTTAAGAGTGTGTTTTTAACAGAAGTTTTCACCCTTCTTTTAGTTGCAGGGGTTTTAGAGGTTGCGACCCAAATGCCTGTAACTCAGAACAGCAGAGGTTTCTCAGTATTGTGGTTAACTATTCAAATATCCAGGAAGTATGCCAATAAGTATTTTATCAAATTGTTAACTTCTGGAAAGGTATACGTAGATAGCCAAATAATGATTAAAATTGTTGCAAAATTTGCAAGAAAAATATTACATAAAACATTTTTGCTCAAAGTGAGTATCACAAAATACAACAAACGCTTAAAATGATATGTTGTCAACAATTATTGAATTTCTCTATTAGGTCTGCCAACGCATACCTTGAATGTGCTAAGAGAGTGAGCAAAGGCTGTGGAGCAGATTCCTATGCTAGTCAACTGGAAAATGCACAGAATTTAATGAATGGGGGAAGATGTGGTGAGTACGTTGGTACATTATATAATTTTTTGTCTTCACTAGTTACGGTTTCCTTTTGACTTGCTTGCCATTGAGAAGCCGAAATACAATAGCCCCTGTTTTATGGTAGGGGATAGCCTGTTGGTCACGCCAAAGGCCAGGGTTCGATTCCCCACATGTGTGAAGCCCAATTCTGGTGTCCCTAGCTGTAATATTACTATAATATTGCTAAATGCGGCGTAAACCACACTCACTCACTCTTACGAGGGTATATCTGATATATTCCCTCATCACCGATGTAAAATTCAGAATGAAGATTACGATACTTATGTATAAAATATATTAATAACAAAGACATTAATGCAAATATGTTTATTCTTAGTCATATAATGTGTATAAGTCCAGGTTTGTTTTTATGAACTTGTTCGACTAGTTATCGTAATATATGTTTTTACAGGTTCAGCGGGAAAACTTTTCGTCTGCAGTCCTCTCCTTATCCTACTTCTCTTTCTGTCCAAATCAGTAAACTAAATTCATTGTATTTTGAAGATGGTCAGGACATGCCTCACGTTCTTGCGGATTGTTGGGTCAAGACTATTCTTTGATGCATAAGTACAACAATGGTACGCCGTGCACAATACAGGGATTATAATTTGGATTAAGTTCAAAGATAAAGATGTTTATATTCTCAATTATATACTATAAAGTGAAAGGCATTACAACTTTTTCAAACAATGTTGAACCAGACAAACCTGATTGTGTGTTATTATGGCTAATTAACATGCTAATTATACAATATTAAACAAATGAAATCCTAAATATTAACGTAAATAAAATCTTATGAAGTTATTTTGTTTATTATCTATGTAGGACGTGTATGAGTCTCTACAAAACTACACATTACTCAGTATTTAGACGATCGTTATACTAGTATATGTTCCTACAAGATCCACGTGTGTCAATTTGAAATAAATATTCAAAGTAAACGCTAGAAAGTAACCAGTCTCGATTTTCTGATGAAATAGTCACTGCATTAGGTTTGAAAGGCCAAATAGAGGTGAAAAATATGTGAATTGATCACTGAAACACAATCGACCTGTTCATCGGACACGCCAAATTGTTTCGACGGATTTGTTTTTAAAATTATACCCGTTTATACAGTGCATTTTGGAAGTTTTGTAATGTATTTCGTAATTTTGGTAATCCGAGCGATATTTCGATAGGACATGTCAATATCGTTTGTTTGAGCCTTAACGTGGGCGTACCTTGTACGTGAGTGATTCTAGACACAGATGTTGTGAGACAGTAACATGTTTAAACAACAAAGTAACATTCGTATACAACAGAGACGTTGTCCAGCTTTGTCTCATGAACGTACGGTCCCACGTAACAGTTAGTTTTCGTTTGTTTGCTGTTTAGCAAAAATTCCACCTTGATGGGGGCAGTCTGTAAATAATCGGGTCTGGTCCAGACAATCCAGTGATCAACATCATGAGCATTGGTCTGAGCATCAATAGGGATACGGTGACATGTGTCAACAAAGTCTGACCACCCGATCCTGTTAGTTGCCTCTTACGACAAGCATGGGTTGCTGAAGGCCAAATCTGATCCGGATCTTCATAGGTTTAACAGTCAGTTGAAGATCAATCATGTATACTTCACATTTGTCGGCCATCGGCCATTCCTAAGAAATTAAACACGATATATACATAAAAACATGAAACAGTAATGGAAATAACCAACTAAAGTATCTTTAATTGGGTTAAACAACATGTTGTGTGACATATATTTACTGATGAAAGTCATAGCCGAAATTATATTCAGTCTGTATGGGGCATTTAAATCATGTGTTGGAACATTTAAAAGAAGTTTAAAAGTTAAAAAATATACTTTAATCTCACTGGAAATGTTCGCATTATGACAACAATACCCAGCCATGTGGAACTGAGGGGGTTGTCACTGACAACATGTTGCCTACTTTGAAGATACACAAACAAAACCCGAGCAGTTGTCTATTTGCAAAAGGTATTTTCTGTATGAATAACGCCAGTGTCAGTTACAGTGAAGATACACACACCGAGTTGATGTGGGTCAACCTCCCCTCAAAACAGCATTACCCGATTACAAGCTAGCATATACGCAGATGACTTGACATTATCCCTTGCTAGCTCTAAAATATTATTTCAGGTCAACACAATTCTACACAAATTTGCAAACCTGTGCACACACACATACACAAAACACAGACACAAACACACATACACACAGATAAATTTGCACGAGGCACAGACACAAGACACATACACAAGACACAGACACAAGACACATACACAAGACACAGACACAAACACACATACACAAGACACAGACACAAACACACATACACAAGACACAGACACAAACACACATACACAAGACACAGACACAAACACACATACACAAGACACAGACACAAACACACATACACAAGACACAGACACAGACACAAACACACAAACACAAGACACAGACACAAACACACATACACAAGACACAGACACAAACACACATACACAAACACACATACACAAGACACATACACAAACACACATACACAAGACACAGACACAAACACACATACACAAGACACAGACACAAACACACATACACAAGACACAGACACATACACAAACACACATACACAAGACACAGACACAAACACACATACACAAGACACAGACACAAACACACAGACACAACACACATACACAACACACATACTCATATACACAAGACACAGACACAACCCATCACACACACAAGTAAGGTATTTCTGGCTTGTACATTGTCAACACAAACAACAGAACAGTGATATCCCTGCACTGTAACTTTATGTATGTAGGCCATATCGGAGGTACTGAAAATATTTCACTATCAGCATTTAAGCTGAATCGAAAAGTACAACTTCGTTTCTTGGAACTCGACTTCAAACGACCCTACTTGCTCTTCATTGTCACTCACCGTAGTCCCGAGTTCAAGTCTTGTGGAATATTAACTGTCGATATGAGTAGAAGACAAGGATCGTCATCAATCAAACAGAAACAGGTGACTCAGACTGCTTTAATCAGGAAAGTCCAACATGATCCCTGTAGATATCGAGTTGGAGCCACAAATGACGTCTCTTCAAGAATGTCTGGTTACAAGAGTGAAGGATACAAAGCCAAGACGGTTCAACTTTTAAGAAAACTCAATGTTAATGATGCAAAATCACAAGTTGCAGAAGTTGAAGTGTGTGTAGGCAATGTGAAGACATGGATGACAGCAAGTAAACTCAAGCTAAACGATAACAAAACAGACATTCTCATAGCTTGTTCACCAGCCAACAGAGCTAAACTGAGTGTGAATTCACTTAAGATAGGTGAATCTCAGATCTCCGTGAGCCCTACAGTAAAAAAAACCTGGGTGTCATGATAGATTCTACACTTTCTATGGAGCAACACGTCAGCAACTTATGTAAAATCTGTTATCATCACATAAGGAATATCTCCAGCATACGCCACCTATTAACAACTGACGCAACACACCATCTTGTAAGATCTATGGTGTTGTCCCGCTTGGACTACTGTAATAGTCTGCTTGGGAACATGAACAAAGACCTGCTCTCCAGGTTGCAAAAAGTCCAAAATGCAGCTGCCAGATTGATCTGTAGAACCACCAAGCACAGTCACATCTCCCCAATCCTCATGCGTCTGCACTGGTTACCACTCCCAGCTAGGATAGAATACAAAATACTTAGCATGACTTACAGATGTCTTAACAACGCAGCTCCATCCTATCTCTCTAGTCTTGTAAGGGAGTATGTTCCAACCAGGACTCTGAGATCAGCCAATCAGTCGCTGCTCATCATCCCAAATGCACGTCTGAAGACATATGGACACCGACGTTTTTCCTACTTGTCAGCTATCCTCTGGAACAATCTGCACGTGTCTCTCAAAGAATCCCCCTCAATAGCCAGCTTCCAGTCTAACTTAAAAACTTTCCTGTTCAAGAAGCACTATGACTTCTAAATGAACTCCTATTGTAAATATGTATATAGTTAGCGCCATGAGCAACCACTTGGTGATTGGATATAGGGCGCTATACAATGGACTTATTATTATTATTTACGTTGCTCCGTCCCAGAACCCTGCAATGAAAGAGAATAAACTCCTCAGCAAGCTTCCCGCAAACCATCCACACAACGATCACAAATTGTCCAACTATAGCAACTCGGGGGATGGTTATGTGTATGCCATCGATATGAAGAAGAAATAGACGTGATCTGGAGCTTTTGTGTCTGTGTGCCATTTCTTTGAATCATATGACCCTCTGTGACACACTTGTCCTGGGAGATTGGTTTTCGTGCTGATTAGGAACTGAACCAATGTAGAAGAAACTGATTTCAACTGATTTCACCTGAATGTGCTGCAAAGTGATTTTCTCGATAAAGGATTTTTTCATCATATTTTGGATACTTATGTCGGTCAATACAGTAACTGTTGCTCTTTGTCATAGCATTAAGTCCATTATGTTAAAGTGCATAATAAGGAACTGAACCAATGGAGAAGAAACTAGTTTCAACTGATTTCACCTGAATGTGCTGCTAATTAGTGTTCTATAAAAGAGATATTTTTTTCTCAAATTTTGGATGCTTATGCCACTCAATCAATTACTTGTTTTCTCACAGCATTGATAGTTCTATGTTATAGAATATGCACTGCGCTAATTATTGATTATGTTCATTTCACCTTTCGTTAGCAGTGAATGGTAAAAAACATGCACATAAGTAATTGAATACTGCCCCAGTGATATTAACGTGTTCTTTGTTCCCCAACCATATCCAACGCACAATTTATCCTTTTTCAATGTTGGGAAACTGACCTTCTTTAAATCATTACCTGCTACCAATTTACAGTGATTTTGAATGTAATCCCTGCTTAAATTCACTTTGCTTTCAAATTAGTTTTCGTTCATCTTTGATGCATGTGCATTTAGTAAACATGAAACTTTGATGGAGCATAACATCCAGGTTGACTATCATCTGAAACATATTCCATTTCGTGTAAAGGGAAAACATCTCAGGGAATTATATGAAAGGACCAGAGAACAATCAGTGATCACACGAGGTGTACGTCTATGGCTAGATAATGTATGAGATACATAAGTTCAGGACTAACACTTAAAATTAAAACTGCACAGAAGAGAAAAAAACCATTAGAACTGCTCACATGAGAGAAAGCATTAGAACCAAGCATAGTAGAGAAAGCATTAGAACTGCACACATGAGAGAAAGCATTAAAACTGTGCGTATTAGAGAAAGCATTAACGTACTGTCGGAAATGTTAGAAAAATGCTTTTTAGCCTGAATATCTTTAGAAAGGTGATAAATGTATTATGTTGTCAATATATCAACTCACCTATAGTGTACCTAATTTTTATTTCAATTGATTTAACATTCCCATGCATTTAAAGGGCAGTTTACAGGAGAGAATTTGGTACCA